ATCTCCTAATTGCATTAAATTGCTTCCTTCTCCCCTTTCTCATCTTCCCTTTTCCTTTATTCCTCAACTCTATTTGACTTTCATTTCTAGGGTCCTTTCCCTCTACTAATGAATAACATAATTTTTCCAACATTGCCCATCCGAGAGCTTTTGTTAAATCCTCCTTTAATAATCCTTCAATTTCCCCTAAACTATTTATTATTTCTCTTCCCTCCCTACTTTGTTTTCCCCGTTTACATATTTTCTCCACTAAATCCACTTCTGGATGTCCTTTTAGTGGGAAAATCCTCTCTCTTGGGGGCGGAATTTCTAATATATTTACTCTAATGTCCTCTACCTCAGTCACTTCCTCCCTATCTCCTGTTACCACTAACTTCTTCTTTGCTAATTCTCGTCTTTTATCTGATATTTGTTTATTCGTTTTGGTCCTCATCTCGCTCTCAATACATTTATTTATATTCCTTTTCCCAATATATTTCCTTTCCAACTGTATAAGCTGCGCAACCTCATCTTTGGTCCATATACGAGATCTAGTCGATCCCTCTTTGATCTTACTTTTAGCAGCCATATCTTCTTTTCTTTGCTCATTCCTCACAGCAGGGTGTCTATGTCTACAGTGTTGGCTCAATCCAGATCTAGTATGAAAACCAAGCCCACAGACCGGGCACGTATGGCTCTTCATTGGGGTATCTGCCTTCTTGGGTATGCACTTGGGGTAGTGGCAAGCTATATTATGATATTGAGAAGATTTTCCACATTTACTACATACAACTCGTATGGCTTTACTTTTATGAACCACATTAATGTGTTTGGCCCATTTACCAAATGTTGGTAATATCTGGAGACATATTGGACAATTAAAACTATCAACAGGATACTCTAAATAAAAAACCCCATCCTTCCACAAACTACTTTCTAATATATTTATATTACTACCAGTACTGTTAAGATCCTTATTACGATCCCTATTAAAATCAGTACTTGGTCTAAAACTATTTAATAAACTAGACCCATTAACTAAATGAGCATTAAGATATCCCGATTCGCTAACATATGGATCATCAAATGTACTTAAATACTTAAAATCTGGATTGAAACTTTCCATAGTTAAATCATTAAAAGTGTCCCTTGTAAAAACCATCGGTAAGATAGATAAAATCTCCTCACCATGATCATCACAAACATTCTCCTCTACCTCCTCTCCATGCTCCACTGGGAGGACTTGATTCTCACTCTCATGCTCATGAGACTTCATTATAGTCCACACCATTTTATCCATTGGTCCAGCGACCCTGATCACACCCCTAATATATTTAACACTGTCAGCCGGGGCATCAAAGCCAACAGCGGGGGCATTATTAACCCGGTCCAGCGCCAATCCGGTATAAAAATATAAATTACTTTTTTCCATAGCTAAAAGATTTACCCTTCTCAGGAGGAAACTAACCCGTGCCTGGGGGAGACTACCCTTACCAGGGGGAATCTAACCCTTACCAGGGGGAGTCAACCCGTACCTGGGGGAGGCTACCCTTACCAGGGGGGCATCCATGTGGCACCATATGGGGCTGCCCAACCCCGTCCCACACCCCACTGAATGTGGGATGTGGGTTCGTCCTCCGCAATCCACCTGGCTATCCAAGCCAGTTACCGGCTCTCACCACGAGGAGGTAGCGGTTGGACTTGCAATCCAGAGGCTTTCCTCAAAGAGGGGTCCCTGCCTCTTGTCCCCTGACTGCCCCCTCCTGAGACCCTCCCCCCATCCTAACTGGCCCCCTAGGACTCTACCCCCTACCTGTACCCTGACTGCCCCAACCCTTATCCACACCCCCACCCCCAGACAGACCCTTGGGACTCCCACGCCCCATCCAACCACTCTCCACCCCCTGACAGCCCCCCCCCCAGAACTCCCGACCCATCTAAACCCCTCTGCTCCCTGTCCCATTGACTGCTCCGATCCCTCTCCCCAGTCCTGCCCCCTGACAGGCCCCCCTCCAGAAGTCCCAAACACCCCCCCCACACTCCTTGTCCCCGACTGCCCCCTCCTGGGACCCCTGCTCCTAACTGCCCTCCAGAATCCCACCCCCTACCTAAGCCTCCCTGTTCCTTATCCCCTAACTGCCCCCTCCTAAGACCCTCCCCCACCCTAACTGCCCCCCAGGACCCTACCCCCTACCTGTACCCTGACTGCCCAAAACCTTATCCACACCCCCAGAAAGCCCCCCCCGAACTCCCGACCCCCCCGTCTCTTGACTGCCCCCTCCAAAACCTCCCTGCCCCTTCTCCGACCCCCTGGCCCCCTTATTGCTGGCCTTTCTTCGCCTAATGTCTTGGTGAACTTGCTCAGGAACTGCCTGAGCCACTCGTCGGCACGCTGGGCAACAGTGGGGGAGGAGCTCCAGACTGCCGGAGCCGATCTGCGAATGCAGGGAGGGAGGAAGGGAGTGAGTGATTTCTGTTGCAGGGGAAGCGGAGGAGGAGCCCTCTCTGGCTGAGTGTCGGAGCCCCATGTAAGTGGCACCATCCGGCCGCGCGTGCTCTGCATGGGGGGGGGAAGTCCGGACATTTACAAATTCCCCCCGGACGCTATTTTTAGCTTAAGAAGCCGGACATGTCCGGGGGAATCCGGACGAATGGTAACCCTAGGTAATGCTCACCTGACGCTGAAGTGGGAAGACAAAGCCAAGAGGGGAAAAAAGAACATGATAAAAGGGAGAGACATTTGCCAAGCTCTTCCTTTCCCTTCCATCTCCATCTACAGACATTACCACCAAGCAACTGAAGCGCTGATCAAAGGGGAGAGCCTGGCTGAAGGGAAACCAGCCAGCCTGTGGTGAGAAGTATCTAAGTTTGTAAGGGCATTGAAAGTGTTATGGTCAGCTTAGAATGCGTTTTGCTTTTATTTCATTTGACCAAATCTGACTTGTTATGCTTTGACTTATAATCACTTAAAATCTATCTTCGTAGTTAATACGTTTGTTTGTTTATTCTACCTGAAGCAGTGCGTTTGGTTTAAAGCATGTCAGACACTCCCCTTGGGATAACAAGCCTGGTGCATATCAATTTCTTTGTTAAATTGATGAACTCATAAAAGCTTGCAGCGTCCAGCGGGCATAACTGGTGTAAGAGAAAATCCAATGTTACCCAAAACCTTGCAGGCCCAGAACTTATGTCAAGCTGCCAATGTTGGCCCAACAGGGAGGAAGGGGTGGGGGGAGAAAAGGGCATGAAGGAGACAGTAGAAAGTACTTAACAGTCCCTCGGCAGAAAACAAATTTGTAATATCCCCTACTGTCAACATCTAACCACAAAAGACAGACAGACAATAACAGGAAAGGCCTAATATGGAAAGAATTTGCTTTTGCTCCAATCAGCATTAACCTTGCAGAATTTTAATAAGAAATAATAAGAAAATTATATATGTAATGATATATGTAACTTACGTACTAAGTTTATGGTTTTAAGCTTTATAAGCCAGTTTGTAACCAGCTTCGGGGAGGCCGTTTCAGTAATGGTTCTCCCCTCATAGAATCATAGAATACCAGGGTTGGAAGGGACCTCAGGAGGTCACCTAGTCCAACCCCCTGCTCAAAGCAGGACCAATCCCCAGACAGATTTTTGCCCCAGATCCCTAAATGGCCCCCTCAAGGATTGAACTCACAACCCTGGGTTTAGCAGGCCAAGGCTCAAACCACTGAGCTATCCCTCCCCCCTGCGCGCATGTAATCAATAAATGGGCCTCAGGCTGATCTTATTGAAAACACAACGCGTGGATCCATTTTTTCCACATCACTGGACACAGCAAGACGGAGGTTCCTAGGGTTGTGTCTGGGACGAGAGATATTGCCTAGTGACATTCGGTTGCACACACCAAGGAGCAGCTTGCATGCCAGAGGCTGTGCGTGAACGGCCCAGGAGTGGGGGTTCTCACAGCAGAGCAGGGTAAGGCTGGCTCCCAGAGTCAAGGATTGGAGTGACCTAGCAGGTCACCAGTCCAGATAACACCAGGAGAAAGTCACAGTCACATGTAAGGAAAGAACAAATTCTAGATTCCAAGTAGTTAGAAAACCTCAGAGTTACATTCATGTCTCCTGCTGTAGCTGTATCTCCCTGATACACTGATATTAGTTCATCGTGTTATAGTAACACCCATAATGTCCTATGTCCAAACATAGTTAGCTACAGTACCTGTCCCACAAAGCTGACATTCTACGAGTCTAATCCTACAAACACACACATGAGTAAATTTTCTCACACAAATAGTCCCAGTTACTCAGGGAACCAATGCAACTGTCACTGAAGTCAATGGAAAGACTCCTATTGGTTTCAATGGAAATTGGGTCAGGCACCAAGTGAGTAAAGTTACTTGTGTACATAAGTGCTTGCAGGATTGGGCTGAAAGAGGAGACAAGCTACAAAAGATGGGGAAGAAAGATCAAACGTAACAGAGATTGATGGGCAGAACCACCAGCTGGGGAAGATGAGCAAAGCTCTCTAGGGTTGCCAATGCTCCAGGATTGTCATGGAGTCTCCAGGAATTACAGATTAATCTTTAATTAAAGATTATGTTCTCTGATGAAACCTCCAGGGAGACAGCCAACCAAAATTGGCAACCCTAGCTCTTGCCAGCAGCAGTTTATCCATTTCCTCAGGGATTTTTTTTTTTATGGGTTCATAATCAAAGGATTTTTAACACAAACAAGCCACTCAGAGCAGCGGGTTCCAAACTACCAGCCACCTTGACAGCTCCCCAGCCACCTGGGAGGAAAGGACACACCCTTCACCCATGGTAGCTGCCACCACAGCTACTTCCCATCTACCTTCTCAACCTACCCCCAATTACCCATGTGACAGGCAGGGCTCTGGGTTACCCCCATGCACTAGGGCTTGTGGAGGGGTAATTGTCCTTGTCACAATAATCAATCATTTTTTCTCTTTGTTAAAATGTTCTAACCCTTGAAAATATACTGAGCACAAACAGCCTTTGCTCTTTTCTGCTGCAGGTTATTTCTCACTGTGACATCATGCTACTGATGGAAATAAAGGACAACAGCAACAAGATATGCCCCCTTTTAATAGAAAAACTCAATGGGTAAGGCAGACTACAAATGTGCATTCACTAACACAAGTACATGCAGAAAGGCAGAAGAGCTGGTAGAAAAACATAGGAATTGCCATATTGGACCATGGTCCATCTAGTCCAGTCTCCTGTCTCCAACAGAGGCCAGCATGAGATGCTACAAATTAAGGTTCAAAAAACCCTGCAGTGGGCAGATAGGGGGTAATCTGGCCCTCACAGGTCTAAACCTAATTCCTAATAGTTAGAGATGGGTTCATATGCTTTTTGTTAGCATAGACTATTATAACTATGGATATTTCTGGTATCCATATAAAAATTCAAGCTTTCTTTGATTTTTGCTAAGTTCTGGCCCCCAAGAACACCCTGTGGTAATGAGTTCCACAGTCTAATTACGGAACATGTGACAACGTATTTCCTTTTATCTGTTTTGAATTTTTCCATCTTTCAATTTAATTAATGTCCCCCTTTTCTTGCATTGTGAGACAGGGAGAACAGACACTCCTGATCTACCTTCTCTAAAGCATGCATTATTTTATATATTTCTGTTGTGGACCTTCTTTTTTGTCTCCTTCCTAAGGTAAACAATACCGATCATTTCAATCTATCTTCACATGACAGCTTTACAAAGCCCCTAATCATTCGCATCACCCTTGTCCAAACCCCTCTAGTTCTGCAATGTCCTTTTTGAAATGGGCTGACCGGTACTGCACACGATACTCTGAAATGGGGAGGAAAGGACAGCTACAAAAGTCCACGTGATCTGCTAAGCACCAGAGCACTCCCTTGAAGGATCAGGTCCTTAGACTGAAAGATCTCAGATTGAACTTCATGCATAAAAAAATACAGTAGAAGAGAACTAGGCTCTTTGACTGGCTTACTGAAGAAGACTAGCAACAAAGTCATTTACAGCCTAATTTTTAAAAAATGTGTCTGATTAGGGTAGGGTTCAGTAGGTCTAAAACTAATGCATCATGGGAAATAAGATGAAGAAAAAAAAAGAAAAACAGAAAGAAAGACTTGGCTGACAGCATACAAAGAAGAGGGGATTCACTTTTAGCTAGAAATAGAAATTGTCTTTGTTGGATAAAAATAATATGGAGATGAAAACTATATCCCTGTAAGTTTCTGCTCTAGAAAATATAATGCATCTATGGATGGAAGTGAGGCATAGGAAAAGAATAGGAAGTACAGTACAGAGCATAAAACCTGAGGTTAAAAAACGCAGCATGAGAGGTGTAGGGGAAAAAAAGTGAATAATTATACAAGATAATACCAAAAGATAGTTTTAGATGACTTCTCTCTGTAACCCAGCACAAGAAGTCAGTGTTTCAGACCCTCTTACATGTGTTTACTAATACAAGATTAAATAGAAATCCAAACCCTTATAGAGACAGAAATCTACTTAAAATATTCTCTTTCTAGTCAGTACCAAGAAGAATATGACTACGTGATCAGTACAAGGTTAGGAAGAAAGTCCTATAAGGAACAATATGCTTTTATCTATAGGTAAGTGAATTTGTTGTCCCACAAACTTATACAGGATCGTTTTAGGGGTCAAGGCAAA